TCACCTGTTGATTCATTGAAATCAACGCCTAGAATCGTATGAGCTAACATACCACCACCTAAAAATTTCCACGTTTCGAATGCAATTTTCTTTTTTTGAAAAGGGTAAACGATCGAAGTAATTTTGCCAAGCTGTAGAAATGAGCTGAGTGTACGACTATTATCAATGGATTTTGCATGTCATTGTAAGTACTTTTTAAAACGATTGTTCACAAGCCTGATTCTTGACATTTTATGGAAGCAAAATTACTTTCAAAACAAGGTTATTTTTCTACTCTTGAAACTCACCAATCATAATGGGTGTACCATGTGTTTTAAAGTGAAGTGCCAACTGACGAATATTTCCTGTTACTTCTGTGCCTGAATTTGTCGTAAGCACCCGTGATTCAATGCCAGCCATATTTTCAAAACAGTAACCGAGCTCTATAGATCCAATCCATTGTTGACTTCCCACAAACATCGCATCTTTATCGCCACAATCATACAAACTCTCAAGTTTCAATCCCATTTAAAACTTAGATCATACCTTGAATTTTAGAAACGGAGCAACGACCTACGAAACACGGAAGTGGATCAGTATTGCGTTTCTTTTTATTCATAAGTTAATAATGCAATAAATTTCTAAATTTATACAAGTAAAAGATAAATACTTGCTGAATCTCACGATGCGTTGGAGTAGGTTTGTCGATATAACCTTGAAGAACAAACCAAGACCACAATGTTTGGAAAGAACGATAAGCACAACCCCAACCGTTGTCATTTATCCCGTCCTTTAAAGTACTGACGTTTAACAATGAAAGGAATTTTAAAAAAATTTTTTTAAATTTAATTTTAACTGATACATACTCGAGCTTACGATATATCACTTGATTATCGACGATTTTTGGAATAAATTTGAGCGTTATGTTTTATTTATTATATGAGGTTTTCAATTTTGTTTTGTAAGATATTTATTCTATTTCTTTGTTTTTCTATGCTTATTTTGAATGATTTTTTTTTTTTTTTTTTGTAATTTGGTTATTTTTTCTTAATATAACTGCAAGCAACTGCTAAAATTACATTTTTTTTTTTCAAATAATTTACCATTTCTATCAACTTAAAAACGTTAATTGATGGAAGAAACCATTGAAGTAACTCCAAATCATGATTTTATACGAATTTAAAACAAACTTGCATGTAGTGGTGGTAGTTATAAGAGCCACTGATAATATATACTTTTCCTTTTGGTTTATCTGTAAAGAACAACAATATCTGAAGAAAAAAGTTGAAGTTTCAACAATTATTCTGCTTTTATTGCATAGTTACCGGGCAAAAAAGGAAAAAAGTTTTCCATTGCCTTTAGCCTATGCTAAAGGACATTACAATAAAATTTTTAAATTAAAAAAAAAAAAAACAGAAAATTTAACTTCAGAAGTTGCAATACCTTATATCATATTGTGAGACACTTGAAAGTAAATATAATTAATGCAAATCACTGAGAAGAAAAACAAGCAACAGATGATATTTAAAGAAATTAAAAACTTCCAAGAAAAAGAATGACCCCAAGAAACAAATCAAAATAAAATTCTTACAAGATCTGATATGCAAATGAGGATTCTGCAGTACTTTCTGCGCCTCAGGATTAAATTGAAGAGATTGAGCAGGCCTCAAGATCGGCTTGTAAGAGGGTAGATTAAAAATACGATGAAGTCTTGCTCGATAATTCCCTTAAATTAAAAAAATATTTAAAAATAAATACATCAAGAAATGAGAAAAGAACTGATATATGTTCTGAACCAAAATAAAAGTTGACTAATTCCTTTCACAAAGGTAGGAAAAAACATACGCAACACCATGTCATCTTGGATATCAGGATAAACCACTGACAGTAACCCATTGTTCGTTGAAAATACACTGCATCTAACATTTGTTAAACGCTAAAAGTTTAGATTGATTAAACATAATTATAGAAATTTTAATCCTTATTACCGATACAGGTGTTAATTAGTCTTGGTCAAAAAACAAAATGATGCGGAAAGAGCTTTCGCGGGAAATAAAAACAACTTCATAAAAAACTATAAATCAATTTAAAGATCTAAAACCAACTTCACAATTAAAATTGAGAAATTCACATAAACACCGTTCAGTAAGATATACTGTCCGTTTCAGTGCTCTTCGCAATAGGATGAGAATATCTGTTGGACCATCATCGGATTGTATTTCAGCCACCGAAGTTATCATGGCTCTCACGTTGCAAAATACAGCAAAATCTACAACTAACTCTTTTCATCCTCCTTCTTAATTTAAAATTTTAACCACAAAATCTCATTGAAACAAGGTAGATCTATCAAAAAAAGCTTATGTTCATAACAGTAGCATCTCTGCATCTCCCCTATACTAGAACTTTTTCACTTAAATAAGCGCAAATCACAAAACCTTTCCTAATTTTTACAATTGGAACAAGCTTCGGTAAAAAGTCACCAGAATTTTTCTTGACCGGTATCATTGGTGTAAAATCTACGAATTTCTGAAAAGCATAGAAATTTAAGCGCTTGAAAAAAGTACAGAAATAGCGCAAAACAAAATTTAAGAACTGTGAAATTTTAAACAACTTCGCAAATTTCGCTTCAAATAACATACCTTTCCATTGGATAAACATCCACTTATTTGTAGCATTTCTTTATTAAGTTGCTTCGCATCGATTACTTCATTTCCACCCAAGACAAAACTATTATTCGAAAATGTGAAACACAGGGACTCAATATTATCCAGTTTCGAAAGGACGGCGTTGCTTACTTCGTCAAGATTTTTCTTGCCACTTATATTTACATTTACATTTAGCCACAGTGATGTCCGGACCAATAAATCATAACAAGATTTCATAGAAGACGGTCTGCAACGTACACTGTTAAACATAATATCCCCAAATAGTATCCCAGAAATTAACTTATCAAATAACAAAAGAAATACCGCAAAGCAATCTCTTTATTCAATTTCAAAATGCTATCAACGTCTCGAACTTCCAGTGATGTTGTATCAGCAAACAGCATCAAGAATCCTTCCGTGCTTTCTACAGATACAGCTAATGAATTCAGATCGTAAGGATATTCCACATTAATGAGGGACAATGTACCGAGAAAACTAACATCTGAAAATCGGAACTATACGATTTATTCTTCAACCGATCATCGCTTGACTACGTGCTGCATTTCATACAGTGAAGTTATGTACGGAGATCATCTATAAGCTTAGTATAGAGAAAAAAATAAAATTATCCTCAAACAACCTCTAAATTGTGGCAGCCAGTCGACTGATACCACCCAGAAATCAACTCGTTACACTTTTCAGACTTACTTGAAGGTAATGAACTTTCGATGAAGCGTATCAGATCCAAAGTGGCATCAAAATCTGATAAACAACCGAACAAAACGTTTGTTATTTCTGCCAACGAAGTATTACCAAACAGAAGAGCAGCAACGGTGCTCTCTTGATATCTACGGTTGTTAGTATAATTCTATAATTAAAAATATTCTAAACAGTAACATTAAGCAACTACATCAATTTAATTTACCTTAAAAAAAAAAAAAATCTGATCCTACTCAAATAACCGTTAAGATTTAAAATTCGTAGCACTGTATCTCTGCCATCTGAAAAAAAGTTGGCATTACCTCAAACAAACGATTGAAATCGACTTTCCACATCTGAGTTCCTAAGATTTCCAACCACACTGTATAACGACGTATCGAGAAGATATCTGAGTAAATGCAATTAAATTTAAGTTTAATACAACCTTCACAGAACGAATCATTCCTTTCTCCCATATGTATCAGTTTCTTTAATTTAAAATTAGCGTATGAGGACAGCTAAACCTCATATATGATGTCAAAATATCTTAGCTATGCATTCACAATGTACAAAGCATTCACCACACATTAGGAAGTCTTTGGATTTTTAATTAGCTCCAAAAATTATCAAATATTGAAAATTTCTTCATCCACCGAGTCCACACTAATTTACCCACGAATTAGTTCATGCTAACATACAACTCTATAAACATGCAGAAAATCCAGGAACAATCGACATTTATAGCAATAGCAGATTCAATTTAATGAGCATTCACTGCTTGATTGTTAGCTTATAAGAATAACTTCTATGGAAAGTATCATTACTTGTCATCATTACAGCTTGCAAACGTAGATTGAGTAGTGATGTGGATGTTAAACACCTACTGCATGCAACATCAACGTGTTCCATTAATCTCATGATTCTAATATTTTACCGTTGATAACAAGTAGGTTTATACATTCAATATTTGACGTTAAAAAAGTTTGTAAATTTAGATATCGGACTCCGTCTACTTATGACGGTTTTTTGGTGAACAATAAGACACAGGAAATGTACTAGAAAAAAAAAGTGCCACAATATTTTAATAAACATAAACTGAATACACACTGCAATAAAACTATCACACTATAGCAACGCTGTGAAAAGCAATGAATAGTAGTACAAATGAAACAATAATGAATTCTTTTGAGACACAAAAATAAACACAAACAAATTAAACCCCAGAAGATATTAAATTTAAGGAAGAGCGCATCTATTAATGAAACATGATAAAAATAGATATTTGTCTTTTGACGTGAAAAACGTTAAAATCTCGGGAAAAAATTAAGTGAATTAGATATGTGCAATGCATTTCATTAAAATGGTTATACGAGTTACCAAAGCTCAGATTAAGAATTATTTATTAAAGTCATATCATTTTGAATGTCCACGGATATATCGATCGTAAGGTTGAAGATGGAAAGATTTTCGAAATGACCAACCAGTGGAATGCATTAACGTATCACAGTTGCATGGTGTTAAACCTATACTAGTACTGTTAAACCCTACGCTAATATTAGTTATCATAGAATTAATATAAATTCCACGATATAAACGACTATTACTAAAATAACAGATAGAGAACAAATGAAAAAAAGGATAAAAATAGTGAACTTTTAAGATAATGTTACTACGCATTTATCTTTTCACACTACTGAAATCGATGTTTATCTTGAAAAAAACATATGGATAATAATCATGCATGCCCAATGACATCAGTATTGGATTATCTTCGATAGCCTGAAAAAGATATGCGGAAATTCTTTAATTACTCTGGAACTATAATGAATATAATTCAAAAAATTACCAAATTATTCAATAAACATAAAAAACCTCAATTGGACCAGCGGCAGATGTATCCAAATGTAAATAAAGATTATGAAGTGATGCTCGCAATTTCTTATGCGAATTCTTATTTGGTTCTATGACTGTTGCTTGGAAGTTTACGGGCAGACCATATCTAAAAAACTAAATGACAGTATGTTAAGTATGATAAAAAAAAAAAAAAAAAACTTTTTTTCTCTTTAAAGTAAATGAAATTTTAAAAACATTAAAAAAAGCTATTCCGTATAAAGGGCAGTAACAATTTAATGTTGCAATCCCTTTTCGACTAGTCATCAAATGATTAAAGATATAAAGAAGAGAAGAAATGAATAACATGTCAGTTTAACAGAATAAATCTAATCTACATCAAAATCACTGATACATCCATTTTTCAAATTTTCATGATCGGAAAAATAATCTCAAGTTATTCACCTGAGAACACTTTCAACAAACACTCGTAATGCTTTAACATGAACAAAGGCAGAAAAAATTTCGCCAAAATTGATTTTCAGCCATCGAACAAGTGGAGCATATTGACGCTGCTTCTCTTGTACCAATTTATCCCGTTCATTACGACCTATTTTTAAGGACTCCTCATCGTAAACGAAATCTCGGACAATGAACCTGAAATAAGATGCTGCTATAATAAACACTGATTTGAAACTTTTACCAGAAATTTCAAACAGTAAAAACTGGACTGACAGGAACAAGAAAATACAGTTTTCTCAACTTACTTGTTTTCTCTGCAATGTGTTTTATATTCATCGATTACTTTTTTGAACAGCGTAACAGAGAATAACATCTGATCTCCATCTTCGGTAATTAAGCGGCTCGATCCAGGTACTACCATATCAGACAATGTTTCATACTTCTGCTGCCATTCCTTTGCCAATGTTCTGTTTAAAAAGAAGTGCAAAAAACTATGTACGGCTTTATAAGCTTGTTTTATAAACTGAAATATGTTAAAGTAAAAGTAAGTAACTCAAACCATTAGATCGGTACTGCTTCTACCGAGATTTCTCTATTCGTTTCTATGAAAATAAAAAAGAAAAACCATATATTCTAAAATGAAGCTTGTACCTTTCAAACTGTAGAAGCGTTAATAGTAATAAAGTTTTTTTTTTAAAATGAAGCAAAGGAGTACAACTGGAGAAAACATAAAAAGGTAGTGGAACGTACTTTGGTATAACCACTAATAACGTTTGTAAGTATTCTGAATTGAGGATAAAATCATCAGCTTTAACGATTTCTGACAAATCTTTCGTCAACAAACTGCCCCTAAAAAGCGTATCTGACATTTCGATGATTAAACGTTAAAGATATTTTTGCTTTTTGCTTCTAAACTAATTTCCATACCGACTTTCAAGACGGCGTCACTCATCCCGAATATATCCTTCCTTACCCATTTGCCAGTTCAATTACAAACACCCTCAAAATACTATGCTGTTCTCGAACAGTAAAACTTCTACTGGTTACTAATTTCAATGAATAACAAAAGTCAAATTATGCCTAAAACGTACGTTGCTTTTCGATCGATTGTTGCAAGACTATTCTTAAGATTATTATAGGTGGTGGATTTCGTCTTCAAATCATTATCAATCTGGGTGATTTGCTGAAAATCAAAGTGTCATCTTTTGCAAAAGGATTTGTAAATTTGACTTCGAAAAATTGATTTTACCTTTCCGATGATATCGCTTAGCACTTTTAGAGATTGCTTCAGAGGATATTTTGCACCTTCCCACTGGAACTTGGTAACATAAGTTTTCACGTCCTCTGAAAAATGAAAGGCCAAATATTTGGAATGAGGGTGCTTATAAACTTGGAAATCCCTACGCAAGTAATTAAAGCAACTTAACAAAGAATGGGTAATTCTGTTTGGAACTCAATCAGATGATTAAATTTAAGCTTACTACCACTGACGACAAGATTTTCCTGTAATTTATCTTGCTCATTTTCTAGGACATCAGCAAAATACTGCGTTAGCTTCCGCGTCACTCTAAAACAAAAACATCAGAGATAGATTATAGTAATGCAAAACTGCTAATGACGGAACAACAGGGCAAAACAAAATCACACACGTACTGTTCTGCAGCACTATCCAATTTGGCCAAATCATCAGATAAACCAACCAGCTGATCCAGAGTCCCAACCTGTAATTAAATTTAAGTCAGCTTATCAACAACCACTATCAATATCATCTCCAAATTCTCAAAAACTGAGCTGTAAATACTGAAGCATAATTATGAGAATTCCCATCAGTTCAAGCATTCTGCTTCCAAAACTCAGCAAGACATCACCTTCACAAACATACACGGTAATACGGCGATCAGGAGTACACCAAGCTTGCACCAAGTTAATTCTCTCAAGCCCCAATTTTTTTCCTGCTTCTAATACAAACAAACACTACTTGGTCAGGATGCGTATGAAGCGAAAGATTATCCTCTATTGACACAAATGATTGGAACCACACGACATAAAAACAAAACATACTTTGAGATCAGGGACATTGAATTTATAGTTGACTGACATATTCCCAGTTGTCCGATTCAATTTATCCCATGTTTCCTGTGGCGAACCCTCATTCGGTGCTGAAATCAACCACAGCTCTCCCGCAACAAAAGACATCGTGCCTGTAACGTTACGATGTAACCTAATATGGATTTCAATAGAATGATATAAGTGGCACTGACAAACTGACTGAGCTTCATCGTCCAGCTGATACTCCTTCCCCACATAAATCTTACAAACCGCATTCCCACTTGCCACTTCCAACACTTTACCACAAAACATTCTGGACAACCAAAGATCAAATACGGTAGTAGGGAATCGTTATGAAAACCACGAAAGTGCTGAATTGTATCCACAAAATGACACTTAACACCACATGCTCAATAATCTAGAAACATTTCAGGTAATAGTAAACACGTGAACAATATTTCACGCGAAACTCCAGCCAAACCGCACAAAACGTCATCCACAGCACATTACCACTACCGTTACTCACACCCTAGTCTAAATTCCCAGACAAACCCGATAGAAACCGGAAATTCGTCACAATCTCGATATATTACTGGCTAGAAATCTCTTGTTTCTTATTCCAAATAATTCGATGTCTTATAATGAGAACTCCCACTTTGGAAGTACTTAAACACTCCATCCCCCTAAAATCTTTTACCCCACTTTATATGTAATGGGAAATACTACTACCACAACGTAGCTTTTGATATGTAAACAAGCAAAACAAAAATTTTGTGCTCAACAACATGAGAAGCATAAAGCATACCTTAATATCTGGTGTTTTTAACAACCGTTTAACCTAATTTTGAAAAACCAAACAAAAGTAAACTTCAGGAACGTAACGCATAAGACAAAAAAAAAAAAAAAATGGCAGAACTTCAGAATTACACAATATGAAGCGTTTTTTTAAATGATCGTTTAATAAAACATAAAGGGAGTATGACGTTATACAATGTGTCAAACAATTTAACAGAAGCAATCTTTAGTTTTGAATACCTGAAATAAGCACAACAGAAAAAAAACAACGCAAAACATTCTAAAAATGGAACAATTTTACATCTAAGCAATTGATAATGCTGCTGTACAGGAAAAAGACCGATACAGTGGCATATCCGAACTTTATTGAAACAATCAAATATATGCCTAATCATCAAACTTCATCCTTTTATTTCTGATTGTTTCTGAATGTCCACCAAAACTTCGTTTATGGCCGAAATCAACTCCTCGCCCTAAAACCGAATGATTCAGTAGGCCTACAAAGTCTCTGTTATACTGTGAAGAAAAACAATTTCGCTACCAGATGCACCTATATCAACATCCGGGTATCACAGTTACTCTTCATTATTTGACTACATTCATTTCTAAGTTTTGTCATTTCGAAATTGCCAAGCTCACTGCCTTAACGATAAAGACTATGTATTTACCTCTTTCTCGAAAACCATTGCCTCGACCATTCCATTCTCCACCACCTCTGAAACTTCCACGACTACCACCTCTAAAACCGCCTCGGTCGCCCCCATTACCTCGATCACTCCCACCATTCCGGATCAATGAACCTCCTCTTTTACCTTGAATAACAGTTACAAACAAGCAATAGTTAGAATTAATGGACAAACATCAATGTAGTTTAAAAATGAATCTTACCACGAAATCTACTTCGATCACTGCCACCACGACCACGACCTCCTGAAACAAAGATTCATGGAAAATCGTGTAAATTTATGACCTCAAAACTCATATTAAACTCCACTGACCGCAGCTGCTAAAATTTATGGCAATGCAATAGCTAAAAATGTTTTCTAAAAGACTGGCTAGGCTAACCGCGTCCAGTTCCACGTACTTGTCCTTTCCCTCGTTTATTTGCACTATTCGGCAAGAATCGTTCAATAGGTAAAAGTCTTCCTGAATCAATGAACAATTTTTGTGCTTCTTTGAAAGACGAAGCTTTGATACCATCTTGCAGTTTCACAGTGAATCCCTGAAATCTCGTCCCATTTTGTACTAAATGCTACCGGTGGCATTACCACGAAACAAACAAAGCTGGGCACGGCTATATATGGAAGAACTAAAATTAGCTTATAAAACTAGCATTTTGTTGCACACTACTAGTACTAAGACTGCCAAGGTTTGGAAATGCTTAAAAAGCTATTTGCATTTTTTTTATTTGCCTCCTAATCCATTTGCAATTTAAGTAGTACTTGCCGTGAATTTGTAGTAACCACCCACTTTAAGTATTACAACATGTAAAAACATACATTGAGTTAAGATACACCAATTAAATTTAATAATAAGTGGACGTACATTGTCTTTAATACCACCAAAGATCTCATCAACTTTGCCAATTTGTTCTTTGTTTTCGAAAAAGATCGCAGCGTTGAAATAAGGAATTTTGCCCGATGTGTTGTGACAAACAATATCATCTTCACATGTATGCGTGAAATACCCTATTTCTACAAAGAAATATTACTAGAACAAACAGTTGCATGCAATTCAATTGAACAAAATGTTCTATCAGAAAAAATAAAACAAATCCTCTGCCATAATTCCTTCAGCGCTTTGGTTCTGCTTAATTAGAGGAAAATTTTTCTCGCGACTTATAATAGAAGGAAATAATGAAATGAACTACAATTACAATTTCTTTTTACAAAATAATGAAACTATAATTTCTTTGTTTCTTTAACGTACTAATGATATATCATATCCACCCCATGATTCAACATACTTGCTGGTGGAAAACAATTTCAATTATTTGTTAGTAATGAAGGAATAGTTACTTACCAGTCACTTGTTCCGGAGGACCTTGATCATACCCACTACTGCGATTACTTCCGCCTCGGCTTCCTCTGCGTCCGCCATGCCCGAAATTCCTAAACCCGCGGCTACTGCCGCCACTTCGACCTCGAGACGACATTTTCCGTAGTGGGAAGTGAAACAGAATTTGGTACGAGAAAATTTAACAGATAGTGAATTGAAGAACTTTTTCTCCACAACTTACTGCGAGTATTGCAAAAAGAAAATTCAAACTGCTTACAAGTTTTACATAATGTTGAAAAAATGAATGATAAACAAGGAAATGAGGTTCACATCATAAAAACTCTCGCCCAGCATCCTTATTCCCTCCCACCCGTCCCGGTAGCCCTACCCGAGCAGGCCACCTTACTTCTCAAGTGCTTTTCTGTGAAATCGTTTTAACAGGGACGCGACATGACTGCTTTTCATCCCACGAGTTCCCGTAAGCCTGGTTACTGATTACTTGCCATGTTTTTCAGTGGTAGAAAGTGGGGAACTAGTGCTCTTTTTTTTCATTTCCTTTTCAGCTTCTTAGTTAGGTACAGGCGATGTGCGACAGTGAAGTCTCCGTAAAAACTGCAAATTTACTTTTTAAGTTAAGAGGTATGTATAGACTATCAGTGAAATCTGTGATTTTCAACAGATTGATGAGCATTGTCTGCTTTACGCAATGTGCTCACATTGCTGTTCTCATTTGAGTATCCCGACTGGTAATTGTGAAATCATAATAGAAAGATTTGAACTTGAAAAAAATGCGTTTTTTTGAGCAGATTAGTGTCTAACTAATATATGGCAGTGGTCTCAGTATCAGTAAATAACTAATCCAGTGGATTTCCTGCATTAAATACTGAATTGAATTGGTTTCTAAAAAAGAATCCATGCGAGGCTCGAAATGGCATCCATTCCACAACGTCTCACCGCGTCAAATTCCCCACTCCAGGATATTCAACAATCTTCAGCTACCATCCTCAATAGCAATGAATCAACCAGTAGATCGAGGAATAAACCTTGTGGTCAGTGTTTCTCTGCATTGAAATTTCACTTTCTTCATCTTATTGGTTGTTTATTGAGCCAGTTTATTTCTAAGCATACTTCTCCAGCAGCCCATATCAGAAACAAAGCATATCACAATTTCATTCTGTGCCTTTTAGCACTTATTAGTTAAACAGCTGCAAACACTTCGGTTGCACATATGATGAGAGTGATTCAATACTGCAAACATTCAAATTTTGCTCTAACAATAACCAAACTGGATATCTCTTTTGTACATTAATTCATTGAGTTGATGTAGCATGTATAAAAATTAAATTTGATATTTTGATCATCCTTTTTCGTAAAAAGTTGAAGTTTGTGAGCAGGTCACTGTTTCGTTGTGACCATTATTTTTTTGTACCAGGAATGGATTTTCAGTAAAACATAACACATGCAATATAACGGCATTGCGTACGGGAACGATCTTTTTTAAGCACTAATTATAAGCAATTTTTTTTTGAATTTTGAAGTGTAAAACTTTCTTTGAAAAATAATTCTTCTTACTAAAAACAATATTAATATTTTCCTTGACTGTTTGGTGACAAATGAAGTTCGTTGTGATAGACTTTTCTCTTTTCTTCAGCGCGCTTTTTATATACTTTTTTGAAAGCGCTTTTATATTTTTATATACTGGAAAGGGCTTTTTCATATCCACAGAGACTTTTGGAGTAGTAAGGTGAACTCTATGTATTGTTACCTATTGAAATAAAGTAATCACTGGAAAGTGGTAAATTCCAGTTAGTAGTGGTAATGAGATACGGACTGCGTTAGGACAGCACACAAAAATTTTCTTTTAAAAGAAAATTAATGAAAAAGGCAGTAGGAATAATCTGTAAGGGAAATGTAGTGGGATTAGGCTATTTATTTACAGACATACATGCGGCACCAACTTATACTTGTTTTTCATGAACATTTCGTACTTGTATATAATCGCAGCTTCATCGAATTTTTAACTGCTGCATTTGAAATTTCTCGTGGTTTTAAAGATTGAAGGTTGATTTTAATGACCAGTTGCACGGGTCACATTGCCGTCGTTTCATTACCGAAATACAAACTTTTTAAATTTATAAAAGATGACAATACTGTGAGATTTATGTTGTTCAGTTCTTCATATTAGATGGGAAGTACTTTTAGTGTATTCTGGAATAGTGCATGTTGGGCAGTAATTATTTGTTTAGCCAAGCTACATTCCATTGTTAATGTGGATTTCGATTACATTTCCCTTCTGTAATGTTTTCAAAAAGGAAATATCAGGTTAAGGAACACAATTTATTTGGTTAGTTCAC